GTTCGCAGAGAATCCATGCCTAAACCATAATAAAGTCCGTGTTCTCATTGCATGCGATTCACAGAGCATCCATGCCCAAACCATAATAACGTCCGTGTTCCAAGAGCATACGGTGACTAGAGATGGCACAACAAAGCAAAAGTCCCACTGCATTGCGCTGCAAGCCCAAACAACAAAATAGCCCCGAATAATGGTAAAATCCCAACGATTCGCAACAACACTTAAAAATTGGCCTTGCTTTAAATCTGCTAAAATCAGCATTTCAACCTGGCCAAACGCTAATTTTCAATGAAAATTGGGTACGGTTTCAACGGCGGCGGGAGGTTTTACTACTCTGCTCCGCATGCTAACAAACTCTCATCATTATTGTTAGTATAAGTATTCTTGCTATTCACTACTTACTATTTGCTAGTACTATTACTATTTACTATTTCCTGTTACCATTGCTATTACTGGTGTGGTTTCGCTTCCTATTACTATTATCCCATAAGCACCAAATGCCTAAGACATGAAGTAAGCTGTTTGCTCCTCCCAGGTTTATCCTGTCGATGGAGGAATGGAAGACTGGTCCTACGCTGCTGGATTCGAGAACTCGCCCAGTCCCATTACTGTTTGCAAGCCCAACACTTACGGCGGTTACCCTCAGGACCTCGGGTGACCAAAGGCAGTGGCAGTAGCTGGCCGAAAATCCTGCAGCAAACAGCACTAGCAGAGAAGTTGCCTGAGTATTTTTGTCAGACATATAGTCCCCCTTAAGTAGACAGAATATGGGGTATATGGGGATCTTATTATACTATACGGCGGCGTACCCAAAGCCAAATTCTATCTACTTAAGGGGGACTGTAATATAGGAAGACTTGAAGAGGACCGCACCAGGTATCGCAAGGGCAGCATCAGCACCTTGATTTACTTAGCGGATCCCTGGCAGGATTGTGCACAGGTTTATATTGGTTTATATTGGGATAATGGAGAAGAAAATGGACGACTAAGGGGGTACATAATCAAGGTCGTGCACGGACAGTGCTGGCCTAATTTTTGGGGTGGTTTCCGGATAGGGGGTTTAGGGTTTCGGGCTGAGGGCTTAGGGGTGTAGGGCTGGGGTTCAGGGTTTAGGTTTTAGTTCAGGGTTTAGCCCGTCATAACTGGTCCGGTGCTTAGAAGCCACTGAAAGGCAGATCGTGGGACTTCCAATCGGTCGATATGTAGAGTTATAAGGGGTTATATAGAATTGAGTAGTTCCCAAAACTACGGTCCAATTGTGATACGCCTAAATAGGTGCCATAGTATGAGCTAGAACCAAAAGGGCCCATAATTTTGAGAATAGCCCAATCACCCTAAATCCTAAACCTTGTAATTACTTCTCTTGTTGGCTTGCTTGGTGTCTAAACCCTGAACCGTGATCCCTAACCCTGAACCCTTAAAAACTGAACCGTTTCAATCTAAGGAGATGGATGATCGAAAGACAGCGCAAGAGGCAACTCTTGGAAGAACTGCTGAGATCTGGTCCGTCGAAAAGTCTCAGGGTCACATCCCACGCAATCTGCGCATGTGTGCTTGGGCCGAAGTTGTCTCCCTACGAGGTGTAAGAACCACTTGGGTTTTCATGAATTAGGGGCCTCAATTAAACTAGCAATCTCATATTCAAGGCGCCCAAAAGGGACCAGCTGTTTTTTGGAAACCCGAATCTGTGTGAACCGCTACGTATACGGTCACAGCTTCCATTTCATTGTCCAACGTGTTTTCCATTAGAATCTCCACCATCGGGATAATTACCCGGCTTTATGAAAACCGCCAACCCTAAACCGTAGTATACATAGAACACTATATGGTAGTTTCCCTAAAAAGGGGGACCCTAATGTAGACTCCAAAATACTATAGTCCTTATTATTGGGACCCCCAAAAAGTACCCCAAATTTTGGGGAACCCTCAACCCTAAATAGTAACCTCCATTCTCTTTTCCATTATCCCTATATGACCCCTATATTTCTTTTCCATTATTCCTATAAAACCCCATATATCCCTAAATGTCATCCCCAAAAATTACAAATGCTGTCCGTGCAGCCCGAAGCCTCGAAACCCTAAAACCCTAAATCCTCAATCCCTAAATCCCTTAACCCTGAATCCTAAACCCCTAAATTCCCAAATCCCCTAAACCCCTAAATCCCCTACACCCTACGTAAATGCCCTAAACCCTAACTCGCCTAAAACCCTAAACCCCCTAAACCCTAAATCCCCTCAAACCCCTTAATCCCTAAAGCCACCTAAGGCTTGAAGCTGATTGAGATGGCGCGTCCCGAAGCCGGGTTACTGCTAGGAAGCTTAAGATAGGTTACCCTATTATAGGGTTTAGGGTTTCGTAGGGTTTAGGGTTTTATAGGGTTTTATAGGGTTTAGGGTTTTATGGGGTTTAATAGGGTTTGGGGATTTAGGGTTTTTGGGTTTAGGTTACCATGAAATGGGTATCTGGTGAATAATCGGGTTTCCTTATTATAGTAAATTGATTTAAGTTCCTTAACAGCAGCCGAGGAAATCGTGGTACAGCGAGTAATGACGCGAGCTAACCCGGGTCAGGGACTGAGCCGCTGAAGGTTTAGGGTTTGGGTTTTGTTATTTGGGGCTCATATATGGTTATATGGGGTTGATGGGGTTATATAGGGATAATAGAAAAACGGAATCTATTATTTGGGGTTTAGGATCTAGGTCAAGGCGCTTAGAAGCAGCGAAGATAGGGTGAACACCACACCGCCTGGCTTCACAAAGGCTGAGGCTTCCCGGGAACCCGAAGCAAGTTTGATTGTTTCGGCCCACCCTAAACCCTAAAGGTTTAGGCTTCAGAGGCTAAACACTAAACCCCTAAGCACCAAAGCCTTAACCCCTGAACCCAAAACCCTGTCAGGTCCGGGATCAGACATATCCGTCGAGGTCGCTGGCTTTGGCTGTGAGCAGGTGACAGCCAGGCAGGGCGTTGATTGAAACTAGGGTTTATGGGTTTAGGGTTTAACTTGGAAACCTGATGTCCGGCTTACCGGAAAAACTTTCGTGCGCCTCTTTTGAACAAAAATGGAGCAGATAACCTTGGCACGCAGGAGTAGCTGCAAAGATCTTTAAGCAGGGGGCCTGATGCAACCTACTTCACGATGTGGTAGGTACGATGACCATGTAGGATAGCGTACAGGCGTGGTACAAGCCGTAGTCACTAGGCATGAATGATGTTTCTCGTGTTGGCCATGCAAGTGAGTTGTGAACAAGACAGATCACTACAGAACAAGCAGGCAAGGATTTGCAACATCATCCCTGGGTAGGCCCCTGGGATAATCAATGTTTTCCCTAATGGCTTTAATAAGGGACCCTATATACTGATATTTTTCAAAGGGCTTTAGGGACCAACCCAGATCCAGCGTAATGATCGTAATGCGATTTGTGCCATGACCATGTAGGGGCAATAGTGGGCATTGTAGAGGGAGTGCGGATTTTTGCATGTAACCATCAGGCACGAGTTCGCCTGAGTAAGTTAAAATATCCATGAGTGGATCTATGACCCGCAGCAAGTACTGATATGTCATTCTGACCCCCCGATCCCCCGAACCAAAAAGCCCAGGTTCCTGTGACATGTCATGTTCCCCCCCCAACCCTGCGATAATCAATTGCTTGCTGCTATTCAGACCTTGTTTGCTCCTTTGCACTGCCAAAAGAAGAGACGACTCAAGCATTTGGGTAGTATTTCATTTGGGGATACTATGGTACCCAATATAGAGTAAGATTATATCCTCCTTTTGGGTATAGTAGTTTATATAAGGAATATTATCTTATTAGGTTTAACCACCAAAAAAACACTACTCGTTTGCCCTTCGAGCTGGGCTACGGCTATGTAGCAAAGATGCAGTCCCTGTAGAACCCCCAACTCTAAAATTGGGCCCTTGACAGAGGAACCCTGAAAAGCGGCCATTGCATTTTGCGAGCGCTAATATGGCCCCAACATAACCCCAATACAACCCCAATATAATACAATATAGCTCCCAAACTTCTCCCATGAAACCCCATGTGCCGTGGACTCATTGGTGTTTAAGTGGATTTTTTAATCATCCGTATGTATCCCCCAATTATACCCCTATAATAGTACCCATATCCACTCCCCCACTCCCCCTTCAGCACCACTGGGGCTTGGTCACTTGGGGTTGTTCTCAAAACAATGGGCCCCTTTGGTTCTAGATTAGATGACGGCACCTGATGTTTAGGGGTACTTAAACCCCAAACTCTAAACCCTAAACCTTTATCCCCTGTCCTCCAGGGGCACTACCCACTTGCAGGCTTTTGATGGCATCAAGCAGCGACCTGCCGAACTGTGATGTCGGTGCGGATGATGGAGCTGCTCTAGAGGACTGGGTATTAGGGTTTAGGGTTTAGGGATACGGATACTTGAATCGAAAGGAGAATGAAATGGAAATTGGGATTCCATATGAGTTTATAGGGTAGGTACTAAATATCCTGCATGACCCCAAGTACCTGATACCTCCGGAATTATGCTATCATAGCACATAAGGCCATGCAGGATGTCTAGCATCAGCAGTAAGTGATAGGAAAGGAGCCTGATGTGAACATGTTTTCTTGTTTGATCCCTAAATACGGTTCGAGCAAAACTATACAGAAAGCCGTGCGCAAGGTATTGGGCCACTGGTCATCAGTCTGCAATGTGCTCAGGACACTGCTTTTCAAAAAGTCGTGGCGTGCGAAGCTGAGGTATCATCTTTGAAAGTTGGCCTTGAGAAATCTTGCCGGCTAAGGGTTCAGGGTAACATTGGGATAATGAAAATAAAATGGAAACTCGTGTAGTATATTGGGTCAATATTGGGATAATTGTACATAGAGCTTAGGGGGTTTAGGGTTAAGAGAGAGGAACTCCGCATTTTGCTGGACAATGATATTCTCAGGTCCAAGCAGATTGCCACGGCAAACTACAAATGCCAAGGGTTACTGGGTAGGCCCTTGGGATGTTTTCTATTTTCCCTAATGACCTGAATAGGGGACCCTATATACGAATATTGTTCAAAGGTGTTTAGGGGCCAACCCTAAACCCCAAAACCGTAAAGCCCAAAACCATAAACCCCAAACCCTAAGCACTAAACACCAAACCCTAAACCCTAAGCCCAATAGTGTTTAGGGGCCAGCCCAGGTTGACCCTTTGGGGATCCAGGCGCGCCGCCTTTGTCCTCGAAGGCAAACTTCCTGCAGATGCCAGTGGCGAGGTCAGGATTTGTAGAACCAACTTAGGGTTTATAGGGTTTAGGGTTTAGGGTTTAGGGTTTCTCGGGTGTAGGATTTACGTAGGGTTTAGGGCTTAGGGGTTTACTGCTTAGGGTTCGCAATAATGGTATTTTTACAGTCATAATAGTGATAAGAGGAATAAGTCTATAATAAAAGGTGCGCTCCAAGGCATAGTTTCGTGCAGTTGTTTTGTTTCGGGGGGGGGAGGCGTTAGTCTGGAGATTTGCAAATTACTGGACTATGACTGGGAGTGGCATATGTTCCTGCCTGTATGAATCGGGTATGCAGATGTCTCTTGTTATGGGAGTCCTTGCCGGGTGCAAGCCTCAAGTTGCTACATCACCCTGAGAGGTTTGCTTACTCATTGCCGCTGAGTTTGACAGCCAATGGGGGCATCAGGCGGCTTTGAAGAAGTATAAGTTGTGAGTGCGCCAGCTGCAGCATGCCAACACCCTTTTGGAGAGGTCCATCCAGACCCCTCGGTGAATCCTCGCTCACATGCAGCGCGCCTCCGCCTGGAGGAGCAATACCACGCCCAGGCAGGTAGGAAGATGCGCCACAAAGAGCACAAGAGCATAAGAGCCTCCCTGTCACGCAATAAGCCTGCCAAATCTGGGAAGCTCAGAGGCGCAAAGAAGAAGTAGCAACTTCAAGATGCGCATCTCCGCAATGATTTGCCCTGCAACTATCGAGTTTAACCTTCCGTGCTTTAAGGCGTTGCCAGGTGCTTCTGTTGAGAATAACAGTTGTAGAAGTAGGACGGCTTGGTGAGCTGCAACAGGTGAGCCATAATCTAAAACTCGTTAAAGGAGGGAATTATATACGGGACTACTATAGGGGATATTAAGAGGGATACTAGGAGTCTAGACTATAGCTCAGATATCGTAGCCTGTTTTCACCGCCCCTGCCCAGTTCGGAATGCTTGCGCGTTTGCCTCGACAGGCGAGTGACGGACCCAACATCATCAGAGCGCGCCGCACCAAGCTCTTTGCTCCTAGGCTTTGATGCAATGCACGCTTGCAAGCTTCAAGAATAAGTAGAAGGACACCGAAACAGACCCCAAAGTAGGATACTTCTTACCATAGGTCCCCCCAAAAAAGTACCCGTGATTGTTGGGAACCCCCAGTTCCAGCATAGCTTCCTGCCACAGCATCCAAGGCAGCTTCAAAGACCTCGCTGCTGGTAAGCGCAAGTACACAGGTTACGCCGGTGATGCCGGAGCTGAAGGCCTGCAAAGCTCAGCTTGTGATACTGGTAATCCCCTCCTAACATTAACCCCCCCCGGCCCCCAAAATATCAAATACTCCCAATATCCTATCAAATACCACAATGCGGAGTATTTTGTATCAGGGGGGGTTAATATTAGGGGATGAAAGAAAATGTCATCTACCGCATGGCAGGGATCTGCAACAACAAGCACTGCGCCGCCATCGTTTGAGATAGCGGCCTCTGCCACGCACACGCTCCAGGAGCCGATGGCAGAAGCGAGCAATTGGTTCAAAGTTGGTGTTTATCTGGGTTGCTGTTAAGGAACTTGAATTAAGTAGGGATATATAGGGTTTAGGCTTAAGGAACTTAATTTGACTTACTATATTGGGGAAACCCTATCAATCACTATGTATACCCATTATGGTAATTTAATTCAAGCTCCTTAACAGCAACTGAGTTGGTGTTCATGGTACTGCCAGTGCCCTGTGCTGGGTACTTCTTCTTTGCCAGGAGGACGCAAACGTCAACGCAAATTCGCGTGCGGAGACTTCGAAGCCGCCAAGTCTACGACAGCCCAAGCAGCCAGCTTTAGAAACGGAGCAATCGCTGACCGTGCCTCTCTACGCAATCGTTTCCATCTCGCCTCCCGACATGCAAACTTTCCTTTCGCACGATCTCGCGTAATGGAGACATGTCAACGTATTGCAGGACAGTATATTATGGGTATATCATAGTATGCAACCACTAAGGTTTCTCTCGGCTATTTCTTCGGGCTTGATCGGTTTAGCAAGTATGCGCTCAGGGGCCTCTTGGCATGAGCATCAACGAGTTGCGCCTGTGGCAAGAAGCACATCCTAGCATGGTTGCTAGGCGTCACAAGGCAAGGCCAACATACAAGATGCACCTGGGATGCATGCAGATGTGCTTGTGGAACATGGCTTATTCTGTTGACTATAACTGTCCCTATGCAGGCTGTGCATGAGGCTGAGCTTGCAAAGATGGTGGGCCAAAGCCAGCCTGCTGAATGAGCTCAGTCGCATACTCTGACATGATATGGGCACGACCCTGCACCAACTGTGGGCAGAGGCGATCAAAGTATTTCTATGTATTTCTGTGGTTTCACAAGACATTGGTTGGATTCGATGAAAGGCTTTTGGCAACGTAATACTCTTTCTGAACTCTTTCACTGATGAAGGTTCAACATGCCTACATTATTGTTTATGCATGTACTGGAATCTAGGATTCTGCTTAGATAAGGTCAAACTAGATCTTCCATATTCTTCCATGTTTATGATTACGGACACCAGCCTCAGCCAGGTGAAAACTGGATTTAGTACATCGATTTGATTTTTTTAAACAAGGCGGAAAGCCTATGTGCATACATACATACATACATACATACATACATACACTGTGAAATGTTGTAAAGCTTGACGGCAAAATACCGGTCAATTTCGACCTAAATCCGAAAATTCACTTGGAATACGACTTGCAGGTCGTTTGTCTATGTGTGACCGAAAACGGAAGTGGCAAATGGACGGAAAGTTCGGTGGCTGGTATGGTTTCCTGAAGAATCTTTCACATTTTTGAAGCCGGCCGCGGACGGACTCTTGAAACTTGCGCAATCCTCAAATGGTCCCACAAGATTTGTTTGGGGGGGGACCTCTAATTTTAATATATGGCATGGGCAGGTCATGGCAGGGAAGCTGGAACTAATCTACATGAGCTTGCTTCCTCAAGTCTTGGACTCTGTTATCGGTGGCCTGCGGTTTTTGAAAGTCCTCGGAACCCCAAAACTACGCACGAACGCAAGGCGCACAATGAGAAGTGACAATGATAATTCTGATATGAAACATGATTGTATGTGTTTCTTTCTGTTTGTCATCATTGCTATTACTTCTTATGATCACTATTCACTTACCCAGCCAATAATAGAAGGACTTGGACCTTTTCGGGCTTCCTTTTTGGGTCTCTATAAAAAAAAGTGTTGAACGTATTTTGCTCTGGTTCTTGGGGAAGAGAGTTCAGCGACAGACGACCAGATCCTTGGTCTGCTCCACTCGAGGCAACAACCGATGATCCCTGTGTAGGGGTTATATATAGGTCTACATTTATATAGGGTCTTATAGACAGAGATATGAATAATGTAGGGTTTAGGGTTAAAAGGGTTATATAGGTGTACATAGGGTCTTACAGAAAGAGACATGAATAATGTAGGGTTTAGGGTTTAGGAGATGGGGGGGGGGTTCTCTAAATTGGGTGAACCTTCTTGGGGGACCCCCATAATAAGGATTATAATATTTGGGGGTCTAGATTGGGGTCCCCCATGTGGGGAAACTAACATCTAACCCACATATAATATCTATATATTCCCCATGTAATGCTTGCATGTCCACCCCTATATTACCCTTATAGAATGCTCGCATAACCCCTAAGTGGTTCCTATGCGCATGCAGTTTCTTCAGAGGGCCTTCCAGCTGTTTTCGTCCGTACAGAACCACATGTATGATGACATGCCTTGTTATACAATTCAACTGAAGCTCTGCAAGCTACCACACGGGTGCTTGTTTGCTGGGATTTGGCTCAAGCGTGGGCGCTACTGACATACCGCCTGCCTCCACATACTGCTGCTGGTTTGCATAGCAGCGTGCCAATGCATATCACAGTCTGCATCGCACACTCGTGCGGGCGCGAAAAACTAAAACCCTATAGCCCTAAATAGTAGTTTCCATTTTTCTTTTCCACTATCCCTATATAAACCCCAATATAACCCATTATAGTAGTTTCCATCTTCTTTTCCACTATCCCTACATAATCCTTGTATTATACCCCTATAAAATCCCTGTCACCCCTGTAGTTTCTATTTTCTTTTTTCATCATATCCCCTATACAACCCCTATATTATCCCCCTATATTCGGCCCTATATAACCCCCTGTACAATCCCTGTTATATCCCGTAGATAACCCGTATACCCCAGTGCTGCGGTCACTGCTCAGGTTGCCGGATGTTGCGGACGTTCGGGATTTGCTTCATGCGCCTAGGACTGTGATTGAATGGATTGTTTTAGGGTTTGAGGTTTTGGGCTTAGGGAGAGAGAGTTTTAGAGTCAAAGAATGCATGTTTTGTGCGTCAGCTGTGTGAGTTGTTCCTAGAAAGGCGGGTAGGGGGACGGCAAAGGCCTGAAGCTAATGCCTCCACCAAAAGGGTTTAGGTCTTGCATGAGCCAGAACCTCTGACCCAAACAATCTGGTCAATTTTGTTCATATATCTTCAAGATAACCCGTATAGAATCCCTAAGCATGTCATTGGCGTGTGGCCATTGATTGGAGCTACCAGATCTTGGGTAGGGGATATAATGAAGAATCAAATTATGGAAAAGAAAGGCGAAATTCAAAAGCCGAGACTTACGTATTCACATACACATATACATATGTGTATATACATCACACAGGGGTTATAGACTGGTTCTACAAGGATATATGGGAGACATATGACCAGAATCATTTCATTTTGCCATGTGCTTTTCCTCATCCTGACCAAACCAAGATCGGAAGCTGGAATGTCGAGGTTTAGAGCCCCCCACCCCGTAAGAGCGGTATCCTAGGAATATAAGAGGACGCTAGAACAATCACGGTTATCACTTATAGTACTTATAGTTATCCCTTATAGTACTTATAGTCACTTGTACTGGGTGGGGGGTTCCACCTAATTAAGTCGAGGTACTTACCGTTACGGGGTCTTTTGACCTCGATTGGCTGGGAAGCAGCTTTTGCTTCAGACGCTTGTCCAGCCCAAGGCCTGAATAGGGTACAGGGTTTAGGGCTGTGCATCATATTGACATCCCCCGCAACTATAATTATTCTCCCTAATACAATGGTACTGTCTTGGGGGAGGTAAGCCCTACACCCAAAAGCCTATTCCCTATCCCCTGGCACCCTAAACCCCTAAGTTATTCATTGGAAGGGTGGGGAGGTTAGCCGGGGCTGGGGACGGGAGGCCCCACGAACTCGGAATCAGAGGCATGCCCTGGTCAGATCACAATTTGCCCTTCTGGGATAATCTTGCTGGTTCTTAGTCGGGAATACATAGGGCTTCGGGTCTAGGATTTAGAGAGAGACGGTTAGTAGAAAGTAAGGGAATACATATATAATATCGGGATTATTGGGTTTCATAGGGATTACATTTCCATCGTCATTACTAACGACCAGCAAAAGGTGAAGATCAGACACCACAGGGGCAAGATCAGGCCTTCCTCAGGGTAGGATCCAACCCCAATGCAGGCCAAAATGCTAGAAGCTGGGGGCCCGCTCGATCTCGAGCCCAAATGCCAGTCATCACGCTGCTCTTGCGCCAGCTCCAGCCAACCTGTGAGTATACGTGCCAGGAGCGTGATTTGGAGCCAAAATGCAGGGGCGCTCCACTTGGCGCGCGATCTTGCCCGATAGGCCCATCGGGGCCGATCTGGTGACCCGCCTCATCCAATCTTACCCTACATCCTCGCCTGATCTTGTATCTGACCTAGATCTTCCTGGTCCAATCTAGACCCCCGGGCCCCGGGGAACAATCTGTACATGGCGAACCGGCACCTGCCAATTACCTGGTTACGCAGCGACATGCAGTGACAACTTCAAGTTCCCTTTGCTAAGCCCAAGTCTGAAGCAAAGATTTTCACAAACGAGTTTTGGGCAACCGTGCGACGGGTCACTGTTGTGATCTTTAGAACGGGCTTGCCCATGATTTGTTGGGTAACAGCCCCCTCTATTGCCTCTCAACAATGACCGTTTGATTAAACCTAACCCTAAACCCTAAACCTTCTATGTATTATATACATATATATGTATATGTCCCTTTAATGGGGTAATATCCCCAAGCCCCAGGCCCCAAGCCATGCCACTGATCAAGCTTCGAATGCCACCTGCAGGCTCCAACTTGCTGCAGCGTGCGCGAATCAGCGGCTTGTCTCCGGAGACCAAGGACCTTCGATGCTTCAGCGCTTAATGCAGGAGTTCAACTTTGCTCCCCATATTGTTGGATTATGTAAGGATTAAAGGTTGCTAATCTCAGAAAAGAAGCTTGGTGCTCAATGCACTTAGTTGGCTTAAAATGGCAATGGCTATTGAGCAAATGTATGGTGGTGGGCAGAGATCTGGTCGAAATGATTTTGGCATGTCTATGACCGCAGCATGAATCCCAGTTTCTGCCTGAATTCAAACCCCGCATCCTACATGCAGTTAGCCTGGAGGCTTGGGAGCGTGCGCAAGCTTTGCAACAATTAGGATGAAACTTCCCTATACCCTAAACCCTATACCCCTAAACCCTTGCGTAGGAGCCTGGTCATTCAGAGCTGCTAAGCTCGGCAAATGTTTCTTTGCCATGGTGGGCATTGCGGACACTGCCGAGTCTAGACTCTTGCTTGCAAACATGATAAGGGGGTTTCCCAAAATTGGGGGGTACCTTTTTGGGGGTCCCTATAATAAGGACTATAGTATTTTGGACCCTAATTTTGGGAAACTACCATAAGAGCCTCCGAGCGGTTCAGCCAAGGAGCAGACCGAGTGCAAGCCGGAGACGTTGCTCTTGGAAACTGCGCAAGTTGGAGTGGCGAAACCTACTTCGAAGATTCAGTACATGCGTGGTGACAAAGCGAGCGACGTGCCGTTGGAGTGTTCGAAGCATCACCTGCTGTTGAACAACTTCCACAAGGGCAGAGTTTACCAGCAATGCTGCCCTGCGGCAAGTTTGGCTTGTGCTGGCTGTGTCGAGTATGATGCTGCCACGGACTCGTGTTCCGCATGTGCATCAGGCTTTGCTCCGTCAATTTCAAAAGATGGCAACCAAACAACATGCAGTCTTTGCAGTGACATCCCATGGATCGACTCTTGGGGCTTTGGCTGCCAAGATTACGTGGATGGGCTCTCTTGCGCCTCGGGGCAGACCCAGGCAAACAACAGAAGTGACCACTTGGTTGATGCCGAGCGCGTGCACGGCGGTATGTCTGCCAAGGAGGCTTGTTGTGCCTGTGGCGGCGGAAGCCGCAAAGATGTGCCTTTCAGTTACCCTGCAGTGCACATTCCATGTGGAAAGACGGCTGTGTCTGCACTACCCCTCCCAAGACTGGATGTCAGCTATGTCACGGAGAACTGCGCATTCCACAGCATGAACTTGACCATGGATAGTCTCAACGGTCACGTTTTTGGGGAAATTTCCACCCATGAACCCCAGTCCATTTCGTGCGAGATTACCACCAACAGCCGAAAGGGAGCAGGCGGTTTTGCAACTTTGCAAGTCCACATCGCACACTTCGCATATCCGCAGAGCATCCTGACCTTTACCGAGCTGAATCAGAGCTTTGCTCCAAGCTCCGTAGCTGCGCAAGTGAAGTTATGATGCTTCCCAGTTGTAAGTAAGGAATATATTCTATAAAGGTTATATAGGGATTATATTCCCATGTTCCCTACTTTTAGCCAGTAAGGATGAGTCTGTTAAAGAAGAAGTTCAAGGGATTCAACATGACCTCACGGTTGAGGGTTTAGGGTTAAGGGCTACTGGTGCTGTACTGCCTCACATGTTTACGGCCTGTGACGCTCGAACCCGGTGCACCGCGCGAGTCCGTCCATGGATTGTAACGGGTTTGGCAATGGGGGTTTACCAATGGGATGGGCCCCGTTTAATCAAGAATCAAATCGCAAAGAGCAGGGAAAATGGAATGGACCCTGGGATCATATGAGTACGCGTTGGATTCTCGACTCCTCACTGTTGGAGCGCTCAGGTTTCCAGGGCACCTACACGGGCTTCCAGCTGCGATGCACGCCTGATGTTCCCTGGGCTCAGATCGACAAGGCAAGGTTTAGGGTCGAGTGTAGGGCTTAGATGGGTTTAGTAGCAGGGCTTGGGGTGTAGGATTTGGGGACACAGTCAGACGCAATTTGTCATGTAGGGTCTGCATGCTTGCAGGAAGTTCAATCAAGGCGTTGCGTTCCGACACTGAACCCTAAACCCTAAATAGCCGTACGCAAAAACCCTTGTGAGGCCACTGGCCGCATCACTCAGACACGCTCCAACCCCGTGCCGCGAACTGGTGAGTGCACCGTTGCTCACCTGCAAAGCTGAAGGGAACCAATATGGTAAATTCCCATACCCCTATATGAACCTGAAACCCTATACATCCCTATATATTCCTATATCCCCTTATACATCCCTGAATCTCCCTATATGGTAGTATCCGAAAATAGGGGTACCCCAATATAGACCCCCAAATACTGTAATTCTTATTATAGGGACCCCCAAAAAGGTACCCCTAATTTTGGGAAACTATCATATAACTAGGGTTTGAGGCGCAGAGGACTCAAACAGAAGGTTTGAGGTGCAGTGTTCGGTTCCTGGCTGTTTTCACTTTGTGGATTGGATCCGACACTTGGAGAGGCAAAAGACCTGAAGGCAAGGCAGGCGCTTGAACCAAGCCTCAACCTCCTGCAGCCTAGCCAAGCGCAGCTCCAGTTTCCCAATTAAGGTTATATTGGGGTTATTATTAGGGTTATATTAGAGTTATTCAAAGACCCCACAGCTCCCCTGAAGCTCCAAGGTCAGCGCCAAAGGCTGTATGGATGAGGCATCAGGAAACTGCACGGAGGTGACGCGCTCCACAGATGTTGTGCTGGTGGCTGGCAACGAGGCTTCAGAGCTCTTTGTTGTGAGGGAGGACCGCACTTGGACAAGAGTGGATGAGGTCAACTTGACGATGGGTCGCCCGACAAGTGGTTTCCGCTTGGCGAGCGCGTTGAGCTCGGAAGACTCTGCCTTAATCGACCCGCCCCTCGCCTACCATGTGGACTGTGGCCCCAACACAAGCTTCGTGGCCCAGACGGGGGCCTTGTCGAGTAACGGCCTCGAGGTCTTCCACCTTGCCCTAGGTGGAAAGTTCGCTGGCGAGCCTGAGGAGGGGCTGCTGCGCAGCTGCCACGACACTGGGTTGCTGTTAAGAACCTTAAATTAAGTTACCATAATGGGTATATATAGGGATAGTGGAAAAGAAACTGGAAACTACTATAATGGGGTTATATAGGGTTTAGGGTTTAGGGTTACTGCTGGTGTGAACCAGCAGG